AAGGAAGGAAGGAAGGAAGGAAGGAAGGAAGGAAGGAAGGAAGGAAGGAAGAAATGTTTGTTTTTAGACCCAGAGCTACATCTCCTGAATCATTTACTGCAGGGGCGGGGACCCACTGTCTGTGTAGATTTTATTTTATGTTGAGAAGGTCCCACACAACCCAGGCTGGCCTCAGACTCGCTAAGGAGCCTTGAACTCCTGATTCCTCTGTCTCTACCTCCTCAGTAGCGGGGTTTCTGTTCCTGGCTGCAATCAGTGTTGCTGCGGCTTGTTGTTTTATGTGTATTGAATGTTTTGCCTGCATGTATGTCTGTGCAGCACATGCATGCAGAGCCCATGGAGGCCAGAAGAGGGCGTTGGATTTCCTGGAACTAGAGTTCTAGATAGTGATGAGCTGGCAGGTGGATGCTGGGAACGGAGCCCAGATCCTCTGGAAGAGCAGCCCGTGCTCTTAGCCACTGAGCCACCTCTCCAGACCCTTCAGTCAGGGTTTCAGTATGCCCTTAGCCTTCTTCCCGTAGCTGCTAAACTGGCTGGTTTAGACCTCTGCTACTCACAGCGCTTCCCCATCGTGGCCTGAGAACTTGTGAGGAGTCAGGAATTTCTGGACTTTCCCAAGATTGCTGGCCCAGAATCTACATAGTGTGTGGCACGAGAGCACATGCGTGCATGAAGAGGCCAGAGGTCAACATCCAGGGTCTTCCTTGACTGTTCTCCACCTTACCGTCTGAAAACGGGGGTCTTTCTCTGAGTCTGACACTCACGGGTTGGCTGGCTAGGCTAGCTCTGTGCCCTTTGTTTGTTGCCCCTCCCCCAGCACCTCAGGGTTACAGCAGCCATGCCCCAGCCTTGTTCCTTTTTTTTTTTTTTAAAGACAGAGTCTCTCTATTATATAGTTCTCGCTGTTCTGGAACTAAGTAGACCAGGCTGACCACGAATTCATCCACCTGCCTCTGCCTCCTGAGTGCTGGGATTAAAGGTGTGCACCACCATGCCTGGCCTTTTCACACGGGTGCTGGAAATCCAGATTCATTGGGGGGGGGGGGTAGCCCTGAACCCGCTAAGTCATCTTTCCAGATCCCAAATTGTGTTTTAACAAGTATCCTGGACGACTCCATTGCACCGAGTTTGAGAAATGTTAGTGTCGGGAAACCCGTATTCTGCCTGGCGTGTAGCCCAAAGCCGCAGCTCTGGGCTCTAGGCTCATGCTCCCTTCTGCTGCTGTTTGGGACTCTGCTGTTTCTTGGGAACCTCTCTGGGCCTCAGTAACCTTGGAGACAGAACTACGATGGCAGCATTTGTCTAACAGAACCGATGTGAGCTTCTGTAAGACACAGCAGCCAAATTCAACACGGTGTGTGGCATTAGAGAGTGCTCATCTGTTGATTTTGTCTCTTTCACGATACTGTTCTGAATTCTAGATAGTGCCCCAAGCCATGAACCCACAGGTGCTTAATGTTATTTTGCAGGAGTAATTACAATAACCCAAAGAGCAGTGTCTGGTAGGATCCTAACACAAGACACCATCTGCCAGCAATCCTGAGGATTCAACCTAGGACTTTGTACGCACCATAATGCTTTACCCATTATGCTAAGCTCCCCTGTTTTGTTTTTATTTTTTGTCTGTTTACACTTTTTTTTTTAAGTTTTAAGTTATGTTTACTTATTTATTGGGTATGTGTGTGTGCAAACTGTGGTGCCGTGTGCAGGTCAGAGGGTTCTCTTCAGCCACGCTGTAGGTACCAGGGACAGAACTCAAGCCATGAGGCTTGCTGGCAAGTGCTTTTCCCTGCTGATCACCCTTTTTGAAACATGTTCTCATGTAGCTAGGCTGACTGCAAACTCCTATCTCTGAGGCTAGCTTTGAACTCCTGACCCTCCTTCCTCCGCCCTCTGAGTGCCTGGTCCAATCCAAGGCTTCTTCCAGGCGTTCACCACGTAGCCCTACTAAGTGTTCAAATTTTGGAAACAGGGTCAGCCCTGAACTGTACCCAGGCAGGCTCCTGTCCCACCTCAAGTCCTTTCGGTGTATTTTTTTTTTCCTTTCCTTCCTCTGACCCAGCCAATCACTACCCTGACTGGCTTAAAGAACCCGCGACTCCACCCAATCAGGATAGGAACAGAGCCTTCAAACTTCACCTCGCTACCTCTAGCCCTAAGTATCTCAGAGCTGAAAGGTTATTTCGCCATCTGCTGTCCACTTCAGGAACTGCATGAACACAGCTGAATGGAGAAATGCAGCTGCATTAACTTAACTGTTGACAAGTGTGTGTTAACAAGGATTACACGCTGGGTAGTACCTACTTCTTGCCCTCAGCAATGAAGATTGACATGGATGTCCGCAAATAAAGCTAACGTGTTACAGGTGTTGCAATAATAGTAAAAACACCGGTAAAATTAACATAAACAGTAGCTACTACCATTTAGTGACTGCACTGTGCCAAATGTCTTTCTTGTGGGTTCAGGGTGCTCTGGGGTGCAAAGGAGGAATGTCTATGTGTCTGTAACTGGTGTTGGGTAAGAAAAAGAAATGCAGCCTTTCCTGAGAAGAGTCGGGAGCAAGTTATGCACCCCCTAAGCTTCTGCAGGGTGACCCAGCTTCCCACCTTGAGGCAGGTCCCTAAGCCAGGCTGCAGAGGTGCCAAGCAGGAGGGGACCTTTTATATCCCGTCCTCAATGGCTGCCTAAGCATGGGGGCCCAGCCAGGAGCCAGCCAAGGCTCCTCAGGAAAAGCTGGGATGCAGACATGGCTGCTGTGCCTGAGCCACGTGTTGATTCCCGTGCCTTCCTCAGGACCCTGCTCCAGCAGCTGCAGAAACTCCAGACCCTGGTCACCAGCAAGATCTCCAGACCTTACAAGATGGCAGCCACTCAGACTGGCACCTGCCTCATGGTAGGTGCTGCTCTCTAACACAAGGCCACAGGGGACTGCTCTTCTTGAGGCTCGCTCTCTAGGACAGTGAGCAGAGCCTGAAGGGGCCAGTGACCTGTCCAGGCCGGTTCTAACAGATGTGGGATTGACACCACTGAATGTAGTGAAGCAGGTCCTTGGGAAAGTGGCTTCTCCGTACTGGAGAGTGTGGTTCTTTTTGGCATGGGTGATAAGGAGGCTCCCAGACCCCCAGAGGACACCTAGGATAGGTTCAGCCTCTGTTTGCCTCTTCCGTTAGTCTGCCGCCTCCCATATGAGCACTTGTTGCCGCTGACATTCTGAGGGCAGGGCCTCACTGGAGCTCCCCAGGGACTCTCAACTGAGACCGTGATGTGGCAATATGTCCCTCTGCCTGGTCACAGTCACACCCCTCCCTTCCCCTTTCTTCCCTTCCTGACTTCTCTCCCCAGTGGGTGAGAACCACACAGAAACTCCCCTCTGCTCTCTGATGCTGTTCTCTAGATTGGGTTGAGGGTGGCCTGAGCAGCCTTCTGCTTCCAAGGGAGCAAGAGACTCCACTTCTAGAAAGCAGCCGGCTGGCGGGAAGGGGAGTGGGGGCTTTGGGGGAAAGGACTGAGCCTTTTGCATTCAGTGGTTTGGGGTGAGGAGAGTTGTGGGTGGCCAATCTTGTAGGCCTGCCCTGCCCCAGATCTGATGGTTGCTCTCTGCCCACTACTAGGTGGCAGCCTTGTGCTTCGTTCTGGTGCTGGGCTCCCTTGTGCCCTGCCTTCCTGCATTCTCTTCCAGCTCAAAGACTGTGAAGGAAGACTCTATCGCAGCTGACAGCGTTTACGCGGCCAGTCAGAGTGAGTACCTCTTAAACTCTGGCTGGAGGCCAGATTCAAGGGAGGAGCCATATCAGGTGCACTGGCACAAGCCTTTAACCCCTGCACTCTGGAGGCAGAGGCAGGTGGATCTCTGAGTTGGAGACCAGCCCAGTCTACCCTGGGAGTTCCAGGTCAGCCAGGGATACATAGTGAGACCCTGTCTCAATAAAGTTTGGAGGGCTGGAGAGATTGCTCGGCGGTTAAGTGTCCTGGCTGCTCTTCCAGAGGACCCAGGTTTGATTTCCAACCACCCACGTGGTGGCTCACAGCCACCTGTAACTTCAGCTCCAGGGGATCAGATGCCATCTTCTAGTCTCCAAAGGCACCAAGCACACAAGTGGTGCATAGATACACACGCAGGCAAAGCATCCATGCACATTAAAAATAGAAGTTTGGGGTCAACATCTCACTCCACACTCTAATTTTGCAGATAGAATAACTGAGCCCCAGTGAGGGTCAATGCCCTTTTCTTAATGTTGCTGGTAGACTTGGGACCAGACTGTTAAGTCTGCCTCTCTGAGATCCTTTGGCATGACTTAGAGAAGGCAGCCTTAGAGGACAGTAGTGTTCTAGCTCTAATTTCCATGTTTGAGGGTGGTGGTTGTTCTAATGCATTAGCCGAGCTCGGTGTGTATTTTAGTCCCGGGACAGCAGATGAGTGTCAGTCTTCAGTCATTTCTGATGTGGTAGAGCCTGCCCAGGGCATGTATCTTGGGCTCTCTAGATGTTGGTTTCTGGAACCCACAAGTTGCTCCCCGTACAAGGCAGTGGTTCCGGCGCACAGCAGGTGAGCATTCTCCCTGCCTTCTGGAATAGCTCCTGACCAGGGAGAGACAGGGCTAGGGGAGAGCCAGTACAGGGAACAGCTAAGAACAGTGTGGCTTTCAGAGGCAGAGGCCACTTCAAGTAGACTCATGGAAGAACTTCCAGGCAGCCCTTCCTATGCCAGAAGCATGAATCTGGCATGGCCAAAGAGAAAGAGGAAACAGTTGAGAGGTCAGAGAGAGGGTAGAGAAGGGAGGAGTATGTGAAGAGGAGGGAGGATGAGCAAGGCACTGAGGGCCTGGAAGGGAGGAAAGGAGCTGGGAGGGGGGCTGAGGGAGGTGGGGATTGGAAGCTACCCTGGGAGTGCTGGGGGAGGGGGGGACAGGGAGGGGCACCAAGTCTATCAAGGCCAGAGGAGAGGAAGCAGACACAGAAGAGGAGGGGTGGTGCTGAGGAAGAGGACCCGGGGAGGGGGAGGGAGGGCATGAAGGAGAGAGCGGGTGCAGCGAGAGCAGCCCAGGGCAGGGCAGAGCCACGCAGGAGGAAGGAGGTGGCTTGTTGAGCAGGCTGGTTTCCTGACTGCAGTTCCACACAATGCCAGGGGCCGCCTTTTCCATAGATTCCTATAGATTAGACCCCGCAGGGGAAGCCGTGGGGCAGGCGCAGACTCTGGAGTCAGGAAGGGGACCCTTGATGATGAGCTCTGGGAAGCGGGGGGGCCCAAAACACCTCATTTCCACAGCTTTGGTGAGCTTCAATTTGCTGTAAGCTGAGGGCCTTGTATGTCTGGCACAGGTGTTCAAGAAACCTCTAGTTTCCTGCCTTTGCTAGTTCTCCGAAGGGTGAACTAGCCTAGAAGAGAAAAAAAAAAAATTTTTTTTTCCTTAAGTGTCCCAGGAAATAAGAGGCATGGGAGAATTAGAACCCAGCTCTCAGCAGGTCCTCATAGTGTAGGCCTGTGATTCCAGCTTCTTAGATCAAGGCAGAAGGGTATAAGCTTATGGCTTACCCAGGCTACAAAATGAATTAATGGCCAGATTGAGCAACTCGGTGAGAGCTGGGGGGAGAGGGGGAAGGAGAACAAATTGGCTCTATATTCTGGTTATAGTGTATTGGCCTAGTATGCAAGAAGCTCTGGGTTCAGTCTTTAGTTCCATAAGGTGGGGAAGAAATCCCAGTGTCACCGAGCAAACCAGTACTGTCTTATTCACAAGTGCCGTATTTTTTGTGAACTCGTGATTTTACTTAAGCACGGTTTCAATCCCTTTGTTACCAACTGAGTCCTTGAGTCTCCTTGAGATTGGTTATACTCTCCCCATTTCACAGGTGAACATGCTGCTGCCCAGCAAAATCAGAGCAGAGTGCGGGACTTACGTGAGACCACACAGGGCTAGGGTTAAGGGTCAGGCCTGCGGGAGCTCAGGCCCTGTGCTCTTCAGGCCTAGCGCAGGGATAAGGTTATTGGGGCAGAAGGGGACACCCGAGGAGCACCCGTGGCTAGTCCTGTTTTTATTTCCAGTGCCCTCCCGAAGCCTACTGTTTTACGATGACGGAGCAGGCTCGTGGGAGGATGGCCCAGGTGCGCTGCTGCCCTCGGAGCCCCCGGAAGGCTGGGAGCTCAAGCCTGGGGATCCAGCAGAGCCGAGGCCCCAGGACCACCTCCGACATGACTATGCGGACAGCACCCACGAGACTAAAAAGTACTTGAGTGACACCTGGCCAGAGGAGACTGATGACAATGGCACCAGCCCCAGCTTCTCCCATCCCGAGGAGTGGTTTCATGGCAGGTGAGCAGAGGCACAGCCCTTTCCTTTCCAGGGTTTCCGGCTAGACCACCCTCGGCCACATCTCTGGGGGGGGGGGGGGGTGTCCCTGGTCTAGACCAGTTCACAGCTGCTGACAGCTGAGCGCTGGGTCCCCGAGGGCACACTCACCCCTGGATCCTCTTCTCTTCCCAGGGATGGGGGCCCCAACACCACCATCAAACTCTCCTAGGCCCCTCCAAGACCCAGGACACAGGACGGACACCCTGGCACCCGGAAGAGGCGTTCTCTTGTTCACTGACCCAGATCCAGCTCACACCCCTGCCCCGGGGCCCTCTGCCCCAGAAGAAAGGGTCTTCGCCCTCCCTGGCACTCCCAGTCCCCGTTGCGGCTGGGTTCCCTCCACGTCCCCAGACATTTGGACTGCTCCCCTGGGCCAACCACTCTGTCCCCACTTCTTCCTCCCACAGCCATCCGTCCTCCTCCGATAACCACTCACTGGACCATTTCATGACCAATGCGACCACTGTCCCTGGCCCCTCGCACACAAGCACACAAGCACACATGCACACACGCACACACACGCACACACACCCCCACCTCCTACTGTACAGAGACCAAGAACTGAAATTGTTTGTAAATAATGAACCTTATTTTTTATTATTGCCAACCCCCTAAGATATTGTATTTTACAAATCTTCCTCCCATCACTTCTCCCTTATTTTGTATTTTATGAAGTTAGTGCGGGCTTTGCTACCCCTTGGCCTGGGACAGAGGGACACCCCACCCTCACCTGGCCTCCCTGTGCCGCTGCCCAAGCTGCTGGGCCTTTTTAATTGCCAAACTGCTTCCTCTCCCAGCTCAGCTCACGCTTTAAGAAAGCAAAATTAAAAAAAAAAAAAAAAAGATTCAGCATCAATCCTGACTCTGTGTCTTTTCTGAGGGGTCTAGGCGTGAGAGGGGGAAGTTTATTTTATATTTTTGTGGAGGGTGGAAAGGGGTGCCTGGTGAGAAGGCCTTTCTGTCTGAAGACTTTTGTCTTGCCAGTCACCAAATTTGGACTGGATAACTCCAATACAAAGCCCAGAACCACATTAAAAAAAAAAAAAAATTGAAGCAGTGATATACTACTGTAGTCTCTGCCAAGATGGAGACAGAGGGGCTGGAGAGATGGCTCAGTGGTTAAGAACACTGTGTATTCTTCCAAAGGACCTGGGTTCAAGTCCCAGCACCCACATGGGAGCTCACAACTGTCTGTAATGCCAATTCCAAGGGATCTGACACCTTCACGCCAATATACATAAAATAAGATGGGCGACAGAGACAGGAGAACCTCCTGGAAGCTCAGCTCACAGGCCAGCAACCCAAAGCAGAGACAAAGAGACAAAGAGAAATCCTACCTCAAAAGACGCGAGGCACAAGTCATTGTGCTACAGCACTGTGGAGGCAGAGGCAGTCAGACCTCTGAGTTCCAGGCCAACCAAAGCCACACAGTGAGGCCCTGTCTTAAAAGGAAAAGAAAAAACAGAAGGCTGAAAGGTGTCTGTGACTTCCGCAAGCAGAATGTGAGGGCACACACACCAGGACATGCACAAGAAGACATAAAGGAGGAAGGGGAGGAGGAAGGCAGCCTAAAACTGAAAAATCTAGGGCTGCAGAGAAGCTAGGGAAGAGAGGGAAGAGCTGAACACTATGAGGAGACCACGGTGAAGAGAAAGCAGAGTGAAAAAGAGAGAGAGAGAGAGAGAGAGAGAGAGAAAGAGAGAGAGAGAGACCGAGATAGAATGAGGAAAAGGTAGAGGAGATGGGAAATGAATGCCTAGAAACAGGTGGTGGCGGCAACCGCAGTGGTGGAGGTGCAAGCCTTCAATACCAACACTTGGGAGGACGCGGAGGCGGAGGCAGCTGGATGTCTGAGTTCAAGGCCAGCTTGGTCTACAGAGTGAGCTCCAGGACAGTTAGAGGTCATAGAGAAACCCTGTCTGGAAAGCCAAAGAGAGGGAGAGAGGGAGAGAGGGAGAGAGGGAGAGAGGGAGAGAGG